CCCGACTGCGTGCGGGGCGGCTGAGGGGAAGGTGTCCGAGGCCCCCCACGGAAGCCGGGAAGACGCCGAAGGAGCCGGCTCGTGGGCGCGGCAGGCGCGGACGCGGAGCCTCCTCGCGGCCGGCCCCAGCCAAGGCAGAACCGTCTCTTTGGGGAAGGGGTCGGGCTCTCCGAGCTGGGGGGCCTTAAGACGGGTTTGTCCTGTCTGTCCCCAGCAGCTCCCGGGTGCCCCTGGCCCCGGCCGAAGCCGCAGGTCGCCTTGTCCCCCTGCCGCGGCTGCTGCTGGGCCCGGCCACGCCACCCTGTCGGAGCCCCACGGGGAGGGTCCCGACTCCGGCCTCCCCTTGTGGTTTCGCCCCGGGCCTCTGCGGACACACAGCCTGTCCCCCCCCAAAGGCCAGCCTGGGCTCGGTGGGCGCAGGCGAGACGCCATGGCCAGCTGGAACCTTCCTGAGTCACGTTCACAAGGGACGTCGTGGCGGCCCCAAGCGCTGGACCCCGCGATCCAGCAGCAGCAGCGCCACCAGCTTCAGAACGGCGCGCCTCTGTTTCGTGTCCCAGTTTTCCCACTGGTCTCAGGAGGTTGAGGGCTGAGGCCTGGAGTGACCACCTGGCCATGGCGATGGCCTGTGAAGGGCCCTGCTTTCCATAAAACCGTGTTGGGCGGCCCTGGGGGAGGCACCGTGGTCCGGAGAGCGTGTGGAAAGACGTGCGATTTCCCGGGGTAGCTCCGTCCCCTGCCCCGCTCAGGACCCGGTGCAGGCAGCGCTGCTTCCCGCCAGGGGGTGCGCTATGCTTGTGTACCGTCCTCCCCTCCACGGCCCCCAGGGTGCAGGGAGCGCTGCTTCCCGCCAGAGGGCGCTCTGGGCGTGCCCACTGGCCTCGCCTCCGCAGGACCCAGGGTGAAGTGAGCCCTGAGTCCCACCACATGTAGCTCTAGAGGTGTGCACCGTCCTCTTCAGGATTTGGGTGCAATTTGCCCTTATTCCCCCCAGGCATTGCTCTAGGCATGGGCTCTGTCCTCCTTGGGACCTGGGGTGCAGTGCGTGCTGCTTCCAACCAGAGGACGTGCTAGGCTGTGTGCATTGCCCTCCTCTCCTCAGGACGCATGGCATGGAAGACATGCAGAGACCATGTCCTATGGGCTACATGGAGTCACAGCTTCCTGAAGCTGAGAGAGTGCACAGGTGAAGTGGTTCTGTCTGACTGCATTGTCAGGAAATGATTGTCAGAGTTGGATTTAGGGCTTCCTCCAATAAAACACAAAATGAGATGAATTCCATGGATGTATTATAATAACAACTAGGACCTGAAGTAGAATTAGTATTGAAATATATATTTTTTAAAATTAGGGGTTGTTTGGATAGGTGAGGTGAACTGATTATAATTAAGTGTGGGGAAAAGGTCAGGCTGATAGGGTTAACATGAGGTAATGAGAAGATAAAACATGAAAACAGGCAATTTTCATGATATTGAATAATTATGAACAGTCATTCCATACTAATTAGTAGGTGAAGGATAATTTCAGATCATGCAACTTTTGGAATATCAAGTCATAGAGCTTTGTATGTTTGTGGGGAGAATAATTTTTAGCATTGTCAGAAATTCATGCTTTGCAGGTAGTGACCGCTGAAGTTATTTGACATTATAAGAATAATGGCAGGGCTGGGAATGTAGCTTAGTGGTAGAGTGCTTGCCTAACATGCATAAAGCCCTGCATTTGATTCCTCAGTACTACATAAACAGAAAAAGGTGGAAGTGGTAGAATGCTAGCTTTGAGCACAGAGGCTCGGGGACAGAGTTCAAACCCTGAGTTCAAGACCCAGGACTGGCAACAACAACAAAAAATAATGCCAAACCCACAGCAGCTTCACAGGCTGTCAATGTAAGAATAATAATTGCAATGTGAGAGACAGTAAAAGAAAATGTGTTCAAGATTATTATAATAGATTGAGATTAGCAGAGAGACATTAGACTGGAAAATCAAGATGCTTAGTAGAAATGTCACAACCACAATATGTAGATTGAATACAGGTTAGCACACATTGGTGGTTACAAAATTAACACAACTTATGAGTCCATTATGTGCTGTTCTGGATTGTGCTTGCCAGGGCAGGGTGTTTACCTGCATTCCCAACTATGAGCATTAAGTGTCAGTAATGCCTACCCAGCCATGTCTACCTAAATTCCCAGTATCAACTGGGGAGCAAACCTGCCTGTTTGAGAACCATTCATGACTCTGATGGCTTTGTACGACCTGTAAATACTGCCAGGGGCTTCTGATTGTGTGCAGCCCTCCATTGCCCTTCCCTAAAGAAGTCACTACCAGGCAAGACCCTATCCTGTTCTCATTGGGTAACAGTTCCTGTAAGAACCAAGCACCTTGGGGTCACATGCAGCCCTGTCAGGTCTCCTGGCTGCCTCCTCTCTGCCAGAGCTCAGAGGACTCATCCATGAGAGGGTCAAGCCCTGGAGGGCGGCTGCTTTTTGTGTGGCCTTACAGGGTAGCTCATTGCAATCTGTGGTCTGGAGCTGAGGAGGGCCCTCTGCACAGACTCCTCCTGGCCCGAAATGATAAACGAATCCAGGAACAGATTCCAGAGCTGCCTGTACCCAGGACTGCTGGGTAATATGGCTGTTTGAGTGTCAGCAGCTCTAGAGAGAAACAAGCAAGCAAAACCCTAGATACGTCCAGGTCATCTCCAGGGGAGAGGAAGAAAAAAAAAAGTGTGGAAAGAGCATAACATTTATGTTATTTCCCTAGGGTTGCTCTGACACACCACTGCAGACTGAGTGGTTTATTGATCTGTTTTCACAGCTCCAAATCCAGCGGCATGGAATCAGTGTCTTCTGAGCCACATTCCCTCGGGAGGTACAAGGCACGGTGTGTTTTCAGTCTTAGTTTCTAGACCTGTGATAGCAGAGTGAAGTCTCTACAGAGTATCATCCCTGTGTGCATTTCTGGGACCCAAAATTTCCCCCTTTGAGGTCACAATAATAGTGGGTTAGGGATGACCCTAACAACAGGAGCTGAAGTTGATCACCTGCCCAGAGCCCATTTCCATGTAAGGTCACATTCATGGTACCGGATGATGAGAGCGTCCAGATATGAACTTTGGGAACACAACCCATTACAGTGTTCCTGCCTCTGCTGGCAGCCTCTACCTCCCTATTTGACCTCCCTATTGATGGGGCTCCTCTGGAGCCCCATCTTCTTCCTGGCACCCAGTAGATCACTTCTGGCCCTGATTGCTGGCTTGAGCTGACACTGTGATAATTCAGTGAGAGCTGGTGTAGGGGCAAAGGGTCTCCTAGACTGTTAAGGTCCCAGACTGAGTGAGGAAAACTAAGCCGAGAAATTGATCCTTTACTAAAAACAAATAGAGGCCATGAAGGAAAACCTTAAAACATATTTCACACGGACTTCCGCCCTATCTCATACCCTGCACAATTAGAACGGTGCCTGAGGTGCAAAGTTGTGCATCCCACCCCGTGATCGATTGTCTCCTGCTTCAAGGGAGTCGATGCCTCGGTGTGCACATTGTGTATCCTTTTTTTAGCTATCTCTGTAATAAAGCTCCTGTAGCTGTCTTTGTAACAGCCCCCAGCTTCAAGGATGCAGGGGCATATAACATCATGTTTCAGAATATACAAACTCCAAGAGTAAGAATATCCACCTGCTTTGTGTGGGGACCCCAAATTTGCCCACAAATTCAAGCCAGAAGGACATGTTAGTTCCAACAGTTCCTAGGAGTCAGACTGTAACCCACTGGCCACGGACATAAACATGCAACCCTTATGTGGTGTTACAATCCCGTTGGCCACCTGTGCGTGGCCAGGCTGGACCACGTGGATGTTGCCTTTAAAAACCCTACCTTGTGGATTGTTCAGGGTCACAGTTTCAGCTCCTGAGTCTGTGCTGTGTCCCTGGCCGGTTAGCTCTCCACTTCCCCAATAAAGTCATCTTTTTACGTGAGGCTGAGTGGTGGACTCTTTTCTCCATAACACTGGGACAAGACTGCTCTGGGGTTTGGACACTACAGTTTGCAGCAGGACCAAACAGAGGCTGGTCTGTCTCTGGCACTGAGGCTTTGGGACACTTCATCAGGGCTTCAAGTTTTACAGTGTCCTGGGCAGAAGTAGCTGCAGCTACAGGCTAGGAGGAGGAGTGGAGCACTGCAGGGGTGGGGCAGGAGCAGCAAGTGAGCGGTCCAGGGGCGGGGCTTGTGGGAGGTCAAGGGTCCTGAGGACAGTGTGCATACCTAGAGCACCATCTGGTGGGAAGCAATGGTCACTGCACCTCTCTGGTCCTGAGATGAGGAGGATCATGTGCAGGCCTAGAGCACCATCTGGTGGGAAACATTGGTCACTGCATCCCCTGGACCCCAGAAGAAGAGGACGGTGCACACACCTAGAGCACCATCTGGTGGGAATGAGTGGTCACTGTACCCCTCTGGTCCCTAGATGAGGAGGATCATGTACACAGCTAGACAATCAGTGGTCACTGCAACCCCTGGACCTGAGAAGAAGAGGACAGTGCACACACCTAGAGCACCATTTGGTGGGGATAAGTGGTCACTGCACCCCTCTGGTCCTGAGACGAGGAGGCTCGTGTACACAGCTAGAGCACCATCTGGTGGGGATGAGTGGTCACTGCAACCCCTCTGGTCCTGAGAAGAAGAGGACAATGCACACACCTAGAGCACCATCTGGTGGGAATCAGCACTCACTGCACCCCTTGGTCTTGAGGAAAGGAGGACGGTGAGCATGCCTAGAGCACCCTCTGGTGGGAAACAGCCCTCATTGCACCCCTGGTCCTGAGGAACAAGGTGCTCACCTGTCTAGCGTGCCCTCTGGTGGGAATCAGCCATCACTGCACCCTAGGTCCTGAGGAGAGGACAGTGTGCATTCCTAGAGCGCCCTCTGGTGGGAATCAGTGCTCACTGCACCCTCTAGTTTTGTGGGAGGAGCAGAGCATGGAAGTGAGCGGTCCAGGGGCTGGGCTTGTGGGGAGCAGAGCATGAGAAGTATGGAGCAAGAACGAGGAAGTGGGTGGGTAGGGGTGGGGTTTGTGGGGGGACAAAGCTTGAGAGGGATGGGGCAAGAGCACAAAAGAGCAGTTCAGTGGTGGGGCTTGTGGGGGGCAGAGCAAGAGCATGGAAGTGAGCAGTCCAGGGATGGGGGTTTTGGAAGAGCAGAGAGCTATAGGTGTGGGGCAAGAACAAGGAAGTGAGCAGTCCAAAGGCGGGGCTTGTGGGGAGGCAGAGCACAGGAGGGGTGTGGCAAAGGAGAAGTGAGTGGGCCAGGGGCGGAGCTTGTGGGAGGCCCCGGGGTCCTGAGGACAGTGAGCACACCTAGAGCACCATCTGGTGGGAATGAGTGGTCACTGCACCCTCTGGTGCTGAGGACTGTGAGCACTCCTGGAGCGCCCTCTGGTGGGAATGAGTGGTCACTGCACCCTCTGGTGCTGAGGACGGTGAGCACTCCTGGAGCGCCCTCTGGTGGGAATGAGTGGTCACTGCACCCTCTGGTGCTGAGGACGGTGAGCACTCCTGGAGCGCCATCTGGTGGGAATGAGTGGTCACTGCACCCTCTGGTGCTGAGGACGGTGAGCACTCCTGGAGCGCCATCTGGTGGGAAGCAGCACTCACTGCATCCCCTGGTCTTGAGGAGAGGAGGATGGTGAGCATGTCCAGAGCACCTTCTGCCTAGAGCACGGAAGTGAGCAGCTCAGGGGCAGGGCTTGTGGAAGAGCAGAGCACAGGAGCAAGACACATTTTGGGTACATGTTAGGGTGCATGTAAGGATTACTTAGAGTACATGTTAGGGTACTTGTTAGGGTACATGTTAATGTTTACTATACATTTTATGGTTGAGGTACATTTTAAGGTACATACGGTGTTAAGAGTTAGAGTACATGCTGGCATATG